GGCGTTGGATTGTACTGTACTTGTGCCTCGACCAATGCACCTCATTTAGTTTAAATAGCTTTTACCGCATAAACCTTTGTGGTTTATGGTTATTAGTTAAAGTAGTAGGAATAGGATGCCTGGGCAAAAAGCTTCTAGTCAACTCGCTTAGACCTAGCTAGGGTGTGATGCTGCTATCATCCGAGGAAACACCTACACTGAATCATCTACCTGAAGTCCCCCTGGCTGAAACAAAAAATGCCCCTTGAACCTGTCCATTTTTTAAAGCGTCAAATCATTTCTGATATCATTGAGCGTCTTTAAACAAAATTCTTTCATGTAACAAAAACAGAAGCGTGTGGTGATTATTTATTAAAGCATAGGTTTATTCATCATGATCTATTTTGTAAACAATACTTGCCTATATTTTACTTGGATTGATCATCGTCACTGTTGGCTACTCGCCTATAATGCATGCTGAACGACAGGCAACTTATAAATATTATCTGTGTAAATGACCACGTTAAGTTAAAATAGAACGATGTCGGTGATTTAATCCATCCAACATACTTATATTTATTCTTTTAAAACCAGTGTCAGGTTTTAACCTGATAGAACACCAAGTCAAATCAAGTCTTGCAGACTGATTTTGTTTAAATTGTCGTAAAATAAGTAAAGCTAAGTAAAGCCTGTTTCTAGTTCATTCAAGCTATAAAACTGCATGAAGGATAACAAGTCTCTGTAGCCAATTAACTTTCACATTGCCCTGTGCTTAAGAGTCCCGTGTAATACAATAAAATCAGTATGGCCTGAGAGAAATATAAATATGAGGACGTGTAAGAAAGATGTTTCAAATAATAAAAATCAAGAATTTAAACATATTTTTCAGATTAACCTCCACTATTATCGATCTAAACGCCTTGTCTGATGTTTACATGTAGGCGAGGGAGGTATACTCCAATATTAATTGCGAATAATATCAACAGCGACTCAAAATCGTTGCCTGTCTTTCACACCTTTACACAAACCCATGGAGGGTTAATAAAAGGATTTGCGTCGCGACATCTATCTCTCTTCGAACAAGCAAAGGGCTGATCTGAAGTTTCAAAACTAATTTCTCTTTGACTGTACAGGGGTAGGCCTATATTGTAATTACTCCACTTGGTCGCCTCCATTGTCTTGTAAAAGTGACAAAGAATGTGTTTTCACACGTGAGTTTACATATCAAGGTTATAATCAGTTTGAATAGGTTGTCTTGCCTCACATAAAAAGGGAGTTGTTCTTTACACTGGTTGTTGCATAACTTATGCTAACCTACTTTGTACAAATATGGTTTTAATAAATCGCCAAAATGATGACACTAGTGAACATTGTGTATCAAACGTTTTGATACAATTAAATAAATGTGCAAGAAGGATTACGGAATGAGTTACTATTTACCTCTGGCGCTAACTTCGAACTGCTACATAAATAAACAAATGTTGCAGAACGTAACAAAAATACTTGGTTGTAGTGTTTTTATGACATATGATTTACATATTTGATATTGAGACATTTCTCGGCTTTAACGAATCACCCGGTGTTTACTATGTCCCCCACGCCCCCCCCCCCCAAAAAAAAAAAAAAAAAAAAAAAAAAAAAAATGCTCTTTTGATTTCGAAATAAATTTGTTTTTAAGGCAAAGAAGTCCAATACTTCTTTCACGACTCAGTCATTGTACAGCAAGTCGTAATCGATATTTAAAAAAGTTAATTTTTGTACTTGGCCTTTCAATATTTATTGTGGTGCTTTAATCGGGGACACTGCCTGTTGAGGTTACAATTACAATTATCTCCAGAGGTTACTGGATTATGTCTAAGGTATAGATAAAGTACGAGGCGCCTAGCTTTACGCAAAATAGAGCAGATAATTGGCGGGGCGAAGCCGAGGTTTGATATACACTATACTGTAGCTACTATATGCCGTTCCTCAAGTTGGGTCTGCTGGGGGGGGGGGGGGGCATTTAAATGATAAACTAAGAAGTACGCCTGTAAAGCAGCAGCGGTTTACATGATCGCTATCTCTGATCCCTTTTCTTTGACAGCATCATAGAAAATGTTAAGGGAGAAAGTGACACATATCCCCCGGCGTTGTTGTGTCTTCAGCATTTCCTCATTCTTGCTTACTACAATTATTCTCGGCAATTAATGAAACCGCGAAAGCAATTAAGTGATGGCACATTGAATATATTACTAGGCGCATTTCACTGAGTGTTAACAAGATCTACCAAAACATTTTATCGCCACGCGTTCAAGTCTGATAAATCAGGGGATTTTTTGGTGAATCGGGAAATCAGGAGATATGTCCCTAGATGGGGAGATTTTCGAGAAGACCGGTAGTGTTGTAAGGTCTGAGGAATTAAGTCAGTAAAATGTAAAGGCTAGCATATATTATCATACAATTAATGGTATCATGCGTGCCTTAGATCTTCAGTGTGTTCCATAACGAGAGACGCAAAAACGGCAAAATGTAAGCAAATGTAAGCGTGTGTTTGTTTATGGGGGGGAGGGGGCAGTTAGTGGTATTTGTTTGTGTTGTTGTCGAAAATAAAAAAAATCTAGAATAGTGTACGTACACGTTTACGTAGTTGAACATGGAAAAGTTTTTAACTGATAATAAAAAACATCAGGCTAGAAACGAAATTTGTTTAGAAATTTAAACTGTCACTCTGGTGGCACAGCGTCATGGCTATGAATATGATATGGAGTTTAGTCCGAAATATTAGTGAATTTAGAACTAATAGCAAAAACGTTAATCTGCCCTAATTTGTCAGATAACAAAAAATGCCGGTGATCCAACTATGAGTAATGTATTTAAAGTACGGCCATTTCGGATTATAATTGCATACCTTGATGCAAAACAGCCTATCGTTTCTTCCACCGCGAGTCCCTTTAATAAATGTATTATATTACTATTTACCCTTTTTATTTGACACTGTCTCTGTTTCTCTCCCTTTTTCCTTTCTCTTGTAAAAAGGAGGGTAAATAATTAAGCACTCAAAATATGCATCACTAATCTTCAGAATAGAATAAATCAAATAACAGCTTTCACAAATTTAACTGCAGTTAGCTGCATAGTGTCACTATATATATAATACGCTGCCCGCGCGAAGCTGTTGAACAAAAGAATAGTTTTCTATGGAAGACCTTTTGTTTACATAAGTATTCCAAGGGGGCGTGCCTACCCAGGCGACAAGGGGATTAGGCTAGTCACTATATTCCGTCAAAATCGTTTAGCGACCCTATCATTATCACACTCCCTCTATTGTATTTTCTGACGTTATAATTGTATCTAATCTTCTTATGGTAGATGGAAAAAATGCACACATATATAATCTTTTGACTGTAGTATTGCTGACATGGGTTTTATTTGAAATCAAAATCGAGCTGACAATACTGGAATCTAGAACCTAGGGTAGGGCGCTGATAATTTGTTGGAGTTTTGGAGAGCAAACAGTGCACTTTGGTACTGTTTAGAACTATGATTTAGCAAGTCAGAATAAAACGGTTGTTATTGTAGTAAAAGTAAAACATGTGCTTGTCAATAGGGCTTCCCGTTCGTCAAGGCATATACATTGGGATGTTGGGATGTCACGCGGATTCTCGCGTTCATTCGAGACCAAAATAACATATGGCGCCATAAGAAAGCAGACGCGTGATGCAATCCTTAGACGTAAGTTGCGAGTTTTTGCATCTGCGTCGGAAAACGAAAAGCCCAGAACTGCACACATTGTAGATATATAAATGCATATTGAGCAATAAGACGAATACGTTTTATGAATCTTATATAATTATTATATAGTGATGTTGTTGTCTGCTTTTCCCGCGGTTTTAAGTAGGTCACCAGAAAATATCGCTCGTATCGCGTGACTATGACATGTCAGAGAGGGTTCCGTCAGTAAAAAACTCTTAAGAGATTTTAACATAAAAACCAAACGTTTAGAAAAAAAAACCTGGACTAACTTTGAATGCAGGAATGGGGTCGATGACCATTGGTAAGTACGGGAAAATTACCGTTTACTCCAAGAAAATTCCATTTTTAGCCAAAAAGAAGAGTTATTATGACTTTAAATAACTAAAAATACGTACATAACAATGTTGCCTCCACTCTTTCACGTACAATACCAGGCGTTTTCCAACCATGACAATACATGGTGACTTTTACCACTCAAACTGAACACCAATCATCCAACATATAAGAGGGCGCCCCTCTCACCAAGACGAGACAACACAAAGTAAACAACACAAACAACACAAATAAAAATATTATTATTCAATACATGACATACTTATATTAACAACCCTTGTTATTTTACATTAAGGCAAAGAATAGACAATTACTGTGTGTTCAAGAAGATGGGAATCAACGGTCCTCCGCCAAGCCTCATATTCGGAAATCTCTCAGAGATAAGGGTGTGTTTTCATATTATGAAATTGCTGTATTGTAAATGTATTCTCTTTTTTTTTTTCACTCACTGTATTCGCCCTTAACATATTTTAAGTAATAGCCAGTTGCGCTTCCTTGCAAAGCAACATCGTGAAACACAAAGTTTTCCCGCTGCCTTCACCCAAGTACTTCAAAGGGGCGTGCCAGACATTTAAGCTGATTACATTGACTGCGCCATAGCGAGGATCCCTCCTAAGATAAATCTATCCTGATGGTACGATAACTTTTATTCTGAACAAAGCCTTATTGTGCGCTTTGTCCCCAGATGACACACTGTGAATAAGCTACAACAAGCTGTGGCTATAATTATATACAGGATCCTCCATCTTTTTTATCATATATAAGACGTAAGAACAATATTCAAATCTGAGGTGGCTCTCTCTAATGGTAAAAACCCAGATAAATTAAGATCCAGAGTTTGTACAAATAAAAATGCATTTTGGATCCCAAATTTTGAACAACAAAATGCAGCAAATGGTTCAATGCACTTTAATTTCCATCTAGTCCCAGCCGGTTTGGATGGCATACAGTAAATGGGAACAGATGTATGGAAAAACATATGGGTACGTATTCAAAAGTTTGCCGAGTAACTTGGTGTGCTCCAGGTAGCGTTCAGTTCTTTCTTTGCAGAAAGGACTTACTTTTTAATTCACTAAATTATTTAGACATATTACAGAATTTGAGTGTGAACTTAAGCCATTAACTTATTAATTTGATTATAACCAGGCAGTGCATGTCAAGTTCATTTGATGATCTGCAAAGACACGTGACGTAATTTACATGGATTAATACAATGCCCAGTGAGGTACATAAAAGATTGCCCGAATGGCAGCTTGTAATTCCACAATAGAAGTGCTGTCAGCAGGTTATTTTAACAATTAAAATTATTCAGCGAGATGAGACATGGGTATGAATCACTGTCAATCTGAATGCATAATTTAACAGTGTTGTTTTCATTTTAGGATTTACTTCTTCAATTCTCCGAGCATTTTGACTTCAGACGTCGATTTTCTGAGAGAAGTGTTTGTCAAACAGTTCAGTAAATTTTACCAAAGAGCAGTGAGTAATGGTTTTTACTAATGCCACCCTCCAGAGTTTTTTTTTTTTTAATCAATTGCATTACAGTTGTGTTTAAATAAGACACCTGATTCTGCACTGGAACTGAGCACATTTGGCTCTTTTTCAGATCCCTGAATTCATAGATACAGAGAACGAAGAAGTGGGGATGCTTTTGGCTAAAGGAAAACGATGGAAGCGATTGCGATTAGTAAGCAACCCGTCGTTCTCCACCCTAAAAATGAAACAAGTAAGAATGAGAATGATTGTGGAAAGTAAACCGTTTGTTAAGAGAATAAACGTTGTAAGATAAAATGTTTCTCTCACCAGAGAGCACACAAGCCAGTTGTGTGATTCAATTCCTTTGAGTAATGGTCGAATATCCAAGAGGAAACACCCGAAGACACTACTAGTCTCTTTTAACCCTCAAGAGACCAAGCTATTTTACTGACTGAAATGACCAAGTGGGGTCATTTATGACCCCATTGTGCTCTGTACAGTGATCCTTATTATAAAAGACTGTTGAGGGTTTATCACACCCTTACTACTCCCAGGATTTAAGACAAGTATTTTATAATGATGTAATGTAATAAGTATTTGGTAATAATACTTTTATTGCATGAAATAACCAAGCACGGATTTTAAGAACAACATAACACCGGTATTTAGACAGTCCTTGTCAGTTTCCACTTGCAGAAATATTTCTCTTTTTATTTGCCACACTTAATGAAAAAAAGTACATTATAAAATTACTTTAAGTAAAAATATTTTGACTTATGTTGAGATAGCATCCTGCTAACTTCAAAAAGAATAATTAGTTGACTTGCTGAGTAGGGAATACCCTAGTGCTGGTAAGGAAATCATACTACTCGGAACACATTCAATCAACCTACATGTATGTTACTACCACATCCGTGTATAAAACAAAATCCACACAAACAATTTGTTAATATATGTATAATATGATATCGACAGAATTCTTTAGATTTCCGAAATACCCGAAAATTGTAACTGTCAAAATGAGAGACCCAGTTATGAGAACAAGTTCCAACAAAGCTACTGAATTTAGATTCAGCGATGCACTATAAGTAACACTTCAAGCATAATCTTCACAAATCACTTATTTGTGCCTATGTTTTGGGCACACTGGCTGGTTGCATGAAGCACATGCATGTGACATTTTCCTATCAGTGTTGCGTGGGCAAAACATATGAATAAAATTTAAAAACTAATATTTAAAAATCCAATGCTTCTCTTTGGGGTCATAAATGACCCCATACGAGTTTGTGATGTATACGCCACACTAATTGGTTGATCCCTACAAAAAACTGTGAAAGTGTGTAGGATTAGTAGACTGACAAACTCATGCAAGGAAAGAAAATTCGAATAAAAAATAAAGAGATGACACATTAAATCATATGGCTGGGGTCGGAAATGACCCCACTCGGTCTCTTGAGGGTTAACACGCTTAGATATCAGTGCCTATTGTGTCTCAACATCATTTTTATTTCTTCAGACAAAATACGGTATTGACTTCACCGATGCGGAGGGTGCCGTGTACTTAGATGGCACCAAGGCAGTAACAAGCCCTGACGGCTCCTTAACATTCAGAACCTTCATATTGGACCCTGCTGTCAGATACAGGCTGGTATCGGCCAGCAAACAACATGAGGTGGAATTCTTTAACGCCCCAATTTCTGATGCTGGTAAGTGAACACAGGGGAACCAGTTATGACCAGGTACATGTAGCAGATGACTGAACCTTTATTTCTACTCTTTTGTAAACCACGCATATACTACACATACAAACAAACGCGCAGACAGACAGACAGACAGGCAGGCAGGCAGGCAGACAGACAGAAGGACAGACAGTCGCACAGCTGTTAAGTCCACACACATATCTACATTTAGCATTGTGGAAACGTATAGGTACGAAGAAACTTTATTTTGGGGGCAATTCCCTTAGAGAGGGCCTATAAATATCATATTGAAAAAAGAAAAAAAAATGTCTGTGTACACAGTAATACAATTTTATCATTGTACACGCACCACGGTAGTATACCTCTGGGCCCCGTATCTCGAAAGCATCGCGCATTGCGACCGTGCGCAAGCGTCTCGATTCCATAACTCGCCCATACTCGTCCCATATAATACATTGTAGCCTCTATTTGATATAGCGATTCGCAATACGCGATGCTTTCGAGATACAGGGCCCTGATCTCAAACTCCGCCTGTGATAACGTGTGTATCAAACTTTCAGGCTGGATGGTCATGGTGAACGACGATTATCAAGCTGGCGGTACCTTCAACATGACTTTACCAAAGGGAAGTATTATCCTCTATGGTGATTACGTTATTCCTCTTTGTGATAACATGGGAAAGAAGAACAAGAGCAGAATGAATAAGAACAACTTCTCCTACGGCAATCCTTCATGCCGCAATATCTTAAACCAGTCAACACTGAAGATCCACTACGAAAGTAATACATTCTTTCCAACTGTCGGCGTTATTGACTGTGCCGTCAAGGAAACGTCGTGGGGGGTTGGCGTGGCACGAGGGGTGTTGATTATAGAAGCTGGCAATAAACACTCTGTTCGCAATGTGTTGACCTTTCCCGCGACGCAGCCATAAATAAGGGAGTTCCATATCTCCTGGCTCTTGATTTAATGCATATTACATAATGCTTCGATGGAAATACTTTAAAATAACCTTATTTGGCATTGTTACCCTTTATTATTATCCAGATACCGAAAATGATTTTTTCTTGTATCTATTTAGTCAATAATGCATATTTATGCTGCTTGGAAACAATAAAAACCTTCGAAAATATAAAATCTCGGTGTTTACATTTCTCGTTGCCATGTGTAAGTATAGGCAACTTAAGGCTTTTATTATGCATCTAACACCTACTTTGAAGGGAGATACCGGGTAGATTGTGTCTCCACTCGAAAAAGGTTCAGATGTCATTATTTCATCCAAACATTATTTCTCTAGCCGTAAGCCATTACAGTTCATAAACGTACATCTTATACGTCATTAAGGTATAAACTTAAAATGTATTTTTTGGTCTTAATGTCCGAAAAAAAATGATAGGAGGCACGTTGTTAGTAGTGGTGACGCTTAATTGGGAAGTTAAGGCGATTATATAATGTATGTGTAGACAGAAAGGTAACAAGAGAGGGTACAACCCGCCAGCATTCCCTCTTTTCCCTCGAACTCCTAAGGTAAGGACCTGCCTGTCTGACTACTTTCAAATGGCTGGCAAAGTCAGCGTTGTCCACCCTGAGCTTCAGAGATAACTTGACACTAACCTCTTCACTATAGCCTATCTTCATCGTGTCAAGTTACCTCTGACCACATTCGATTGCCTCCGCCGCCCGCCAATCAAATTTAAAGCCCGCACTCAATGACTCATTAAAGCGAATGAACGCGAACGAGTCAAAGCGCGCTTTGTTCAAATCCGGACCAATCAAAGATAAGGCTGAATATCAGGGACTTTCCGTAACCTTGTTTCATGACCCCGCTATACCAACGGGAATATTATAGTAGATGCTCCAGCGCAGTAGACTACTGCAATCATACTGCAAATATGCCTCAAATCTGCTTCGCATTGGGAGCTAATTAGCATATTTGAAACATGCTTCTATCATGCTGCTAATCTACTGCATTAATGCTCCTCCTCTGTACAACCCTATGTAATTCTTTAAGTAGAATTGCAGTAGGGTATACTGCATTTCTACTGCAAAATATGCTCCACACCACTACTGCGTTAATGCTTCTTTGCTACTTGGATACTACTGCACTTTCGTGCGGAATGTGCCATTACGGATTTTGTGTACACACAGAGATATGAATTCACTACAGTGGATTTAATTTTTCGGTTTAAAATCGCAGCAATTGAAAATTAACCCCAAACTCAATGGGAATTTGCTCTTGGATAGAGGATTTAAGACAAGAATTTGAAATGATATATAATGTTCTGAAATATTCCTTTGGTATTTTTGTTCTTTGAGATTAAAAACAAAACAAACAAACAAACAAAAAAGTTGTAAGTGTAATAATATAGAATGTTATGCATTAAAAACACCAACAAACAGTAAGCTCCAACAAGTTTTTCTAGGTAAGGGTGGGAGGTGAGGTTATGTCAACGGTAGGTCTGGAACCCAAGCATGTAACATGGAGTTCCATGAATACTTACCTTATGCACGCTAACCACTACACAGACGAGCTGAAAATGCGGATATTGCTCATCAGAAGGATTTTCATATAATTTATAAGTATAATCATTTAACCGTATTATTGCATAAGGATAGGACTTTAAAAAGGCCGGACTAACATTACTGTCATAGGTTTAACAGGAATAAAAGCCTGAAAGTAATACAGTCCTACCTACTATAATAATGGCCAGAAACGTAAGTCCCAGTAGGACTACCATCCTACGGACAACCATTACTGAGGGACCTGGATTACTGTAACACCGCAGTGATGAGCATATCATTGCAACAAGGTAGCTGAATCACGCAATGATCGTACTTAAATTTCTTAAACCACGTGGTATTCCATATGACATACAAAATTCATATCACAATAAGGTACTTAAGGCTGTTTACTAAAGGCAAGCTTATTGATAACTTGAATCCCTGCTGCCAAATTAGCTAGATGCATACCTATTAAAAAGAATGAATATGTGGCCCTGCTCCTGGAAAAAAAAAAAAAAAAAATATATATATATATATATATATATATATATATATATATATATATATATATATATATATATATATATCCGAAAGAGAGTCAGTAACTATATTATATAATATTTGAGGAAAAGAAGACATGTCTTGGATGGTACCTTATATTGTTAAAAATAAATATCGGCCAAACAGGCTCGTACATTTTGTCCACTGACTGGGCGGGGTAGTACTCAAAAGGACGCGTAAGCGCATTAAACATTTACGTTGACTAAAAAAAATACAAACAATAAAGTAAATGAGGGGGAGGGGGCGGACAAAAAAGTTTCTAGGAAAACCTCAGCCTATTTAATCTATGTTGATTTTCTCATGCAATTTTATACAAAGAGTGAAGTGCATCCATAAAAACGACCCCTTTTACTTTAGTGGTACACCCTAAGGAAAAAATCTAAGTTAACAGTCCACAGAATCTTGACACTATGAAGACCAACATACCGCGAGAATTAAGAAACTGACATGTCTGCGAGAGTTATGGCCAATTCCCATGTTCGTGACCAGCGTTATTCAGCAGCGATGAGAATGGATAGAGCATATAATCAGGTGTTAAAATTTGAGTAACTTAAAGGGATAATGACTCTTCGTTTTGGCCAAAAAGTGAATT